GCCAGCGCCCACGGAGGCAGAGACCTCGCATCCAGCGCCCACGGAGGCAGAGACCTCGCATCCAGTGCCCACAGAGGCTGAGACTCCAGCACCTATGGAGGCTGAGACCTCGCATCCAGTGCCCACAGAGGCTGAGACCTCGCATCCAGCACACACGGAGGCAGAGACCACCCAGCTTCCTGGGAGTCTGATTGTAAAAAGTCTGTCTACAGAGTCCACAGCCACAGAAACACCTTCCAAAGAGCCCACGGCCACGGAGACCATGTCCACAGAGCCTATTGACTCTATCATCTTCCTTGGGCCATCTGTGACTCACAAGGGCAATCGTGTGGCAACTGGCCACATAAATGACAATGGTTTGAAGAACGGGCTGTTTGTGACCCCTTGGAGCTCTCTGGCCACAACGACCCCAGGGACCTCTGACCTCATCCCAGTGAAGCAATGCCTGCTAGCCATCCTCATCTTAGCCTCTCTGGCCACCATCTTCCTGGTGTGCACGGTGGTCCTAGCTGTCCGCCTTTCCCGTAAGAAGCACATGTACCCAGTGCGGAACTACTCCCCCACCGAGATGATCTGCATCTCATCTTTACTGCCTGAGGGGGGTGAAGGGGCCCTTGTCACAGCCAATGGGGACCTGCCCAAGGTCCAGGACCTGAAGACAGAGCCCAGTGAGGACCGAGATGGGGATGACCTCACCCTGCGCAGCTTCCTGCCTTAGTCTCTCTGGCTATCTGAGCAAGGCCCTTGCTGGCTTTACCCTCCACGCCCACCTGCTGGTCACCAAGGCCACAGAGCTGGGCTTCCTGGGTGAACTTTATCCATAGGGGTCTTTAGGGTCCAGGACCTCCAAGATCCTGCAGCTCCTGCTTCATTCATGGAGCCTGGTGGCCTCCAGGCCAAGGACCACAGTAGCAGTTGCTGCTCCTGGACACCTCTCTCTACCTGTCTGCTGTTTTTTTTTTTTTTCTGGGACCCCCAACCCCCACTGTCTCCCAGTGCTGTGAGACTTCCTGGGGGTCACTAGAGTCCTGGCCTCACCTCCCCAAGAAAGAATAACTTCCCTACCCCAGTCCCAAAGCTTCCCTGTTGGTTGCCATGGTTGCCTGATAAGAAAGGCTCTCTGGGGGAGGCTGCCAGTGAGCAGCATTTCCCAAGGCTGTGTCTGTTCCTCTGGCCGCAGTGAGGGGCAGCTAGGCTTTCCCAGGCACCTGTCTAGGGATAGCAGGGCAAGGACTGGAAAGACAGTCCTTCATGTTGGTCTGTGTGAACCATGAGCTTCTGTATGTTGACAGAGCGACCTCGCAAAGTGGCCTGTCACAGAGCAGGTGCTCAATAAATGTGTGGCAGCAAATGGCGGCTGAGTCCTTCACATGCCCAGGCTGCCACCTCCAGACAGTTTAGCCACAGGCTCTCAGGCCAATGTGCATGTTGCTGTGAGACAATAGAGACGTTTAGTCCATTCTTGGGCAGCGGCAAGGGGGAAATGAAGGGCTCGACTTGGAAGTGATTGCACACACTAGAGACCTGAAGGAGTAGGAGCTTAAGGTCATCCCAGGATATGTGTCAAGCTTGAGATCAGCCTGGGATCAAAGAAAACTAGAACGGGGTCTGGGTGGATGGCTCAGTGGGTGAAGAGTGCTTGCGGCCAAGCCTGATGTCTTAAGCCTGACTGGGGGTCCTACATGGTGGAAGGAGAAAACTGACTCCCCCAAATTGTCCTCAGATCTCCACACACAATAAACAAACAAAACCAAACAAATAAACAAAGTAGAGAGCTTTGCTGAATACACCCTTACCAAACTAGGCCAAGGGAGGTGGGTCCCTCAGTTCTCAGACAAATATGCCTCTTGGTGCCCACATGACCCTGCCCAGAAACCTCTCTCCCTCCACAGGGTGCCCATGTCCACTTCTAGCAGATTCTCACAGACTGGCAGAGCTGCTGCCATCCATGACACTTTCCGGGTGTCACTTACCTCCCTGGGCTGTTGCTGAGAGTTTGGGGCTGACCAATTTCTTTTTAAGGCAAAGATGGTGAGTATTTGGGCTGTGTGTACCACACCATCTCTACTGCAACGTCCCAAGTTAGTTCTCTAAGCCGCAGAGAATGTGTGGCAAATGACGGTGTCACTGTGTGTTCTGTTAGGGCAGTTGACTCAGTAGGGAAAGCACTTGTCTTATCAGTGTGAGGACCTGAGTTTGATCCCCAGAATCCACAGAGCAAAACAAAACAACAAAGCAGGTACAGTAGTTCACACTCTCAACCCCAGCCTTGGGCAGCAGAGACAGGTCATTCTCTAGCCAGCTATTCTGTCCTACATCGAAAATTCCAGGCCAATAAGAGACCACTCAAAAGGAAGATATATAGTTCCCGAAGAACAAGAGCTGAGAGTGTCCTCTGGCCTCCATGTGCACATGTAAACATGTACATACACATATACATGAGCACACACACACACACACACACACACACACACACACACACACACCAAGCCAGCTCAGGCTCTGTAATTTTGACCCCTAATTGCAGGACAGGGTACCACAAGGTCACAAATTTGCCAGCTTTCTGATCTTGGCATTAGAGCCTGTGCTCTGAGAGCCTCCCCCAACTCCAGCAAACCAGAAATTGTCCACATGTGTGGCAGACATGCCCCACCTCACCCCAATCCCACAGGAACCCCAAGGCTTCATGAACTCTCACTCTTGTCCCGCATCCAAGTTCTTTCTTCCCATCATTTCCACAGACAGGAGGGCTGCTTGAGTACACAGCACCCTGTCTTCTGGAAGAAGAACAATGTCCTTTAGAAGGAAAATGTTTTTTTCTCTCCCAGAAAACACTCTGGGATGAAGAAGCCTTGACCCACCTGCTCAGGGTGTGACCTGCAAGAGAAAGCTACATCTTGGGAGAGAGGGATTGGGACAGGAAGAGAGCCACAGGGAAAGGCAGGAGGTAACATGGCAGGTGATGGGATCCTCAGGGACAGAGTAGAGAGTGGTGGGGAGATGTCCCAGCATCTAGAAGTGGTCCTGCCCGCTGCTTCCCCCTCAGCCTAAGACGATCCTGGCTGGTGCACTGGGAAGACCTGGGTTCATCTCCCCTGAATCAGAAAGAGTATAAGGGGATCCACAGACCCGGCAGGTACAGGAATGAGGGCATCTGAGCAGTTCCCCGGGGTCCTGGTCCCCTTCTCGGTTTTCTTGCTTGGAAAGGGGCTCACCATGGATGAGAGGAGCGGCCACCAGGGGGCGCTGGTCACCTTCTCCTGGAGGATGGTGGTACAATGAGGAGCCTGCATCCTGGTGTTTTGAGTATGAGTGCTCTTGGCTTTTCTGGTAATATATTTGCTAAACAACCGATTCTCAAAACTTGACACCTAGCCCTCGGGCAGATTCAGATGTCCCTTGTGCGCAGCTGCCCCACCGCCCATCTCTGTATGGCTCTGACGGTGCAGAACCAGTCAGTCAAGGCATCCACTCCGTGAACCCACACACGCGGGCAGTATCTCCTCACACATGTCTGCAGCATCTCTCTCAACCCCTCAAACTGCCTTCAAAGGAGGCCCTCGAGTGTTCCCTTCATAGAGGAGGAAACGGAGGCTCAGAGAAGTGAATTCCTAGCCCATCCCACAGAGGATCTGGGACTGTAATCCCTGCCCTGCAGCCTTGCTCTTGCCAGGGTGACATTCTATCCTCCAGATCACAGTGGGATTCTGGGGGAATCCTATGGCCCAAGATCACTTTGCTGACCTTCCTGCCATCCGGAAGTCCCCCTTGTCACCAGTAATCTCCTTGGAACAGAGGAAAGGCATGATTACTTGGAAGGGTGACCAAGCAGAATCAGCCCCTCTCTGTAGAGACGACACAGAGTCAGGCCCAGCACAAAGAGGGCAGATGTGAGCTGGGCACTTACCTAACCCTTGTCTCTATCATCTCATTTAGGTCACAGTGGGGCTGCACAACAGGCACGTGCCAAACTCACCGTGCTGCTGCTGGGGAAACTGGAGCTTAGAAATTGGGAGCAAATTGTCAAAAAGACAGAAGAGGCAGGGAGGGAGTCAGGCCTGGGTGGGGGGCAGACAGGAGGTGGGTGGGTGGGCAAGTAGTGGTAGGCTAAGTTTATGCCCAGTCCTTGACTCCCCCCAGTGTCAGGGGCTGCCCCTTCCACCCGTCACATGGGTGTTTCACTTGTCAACAGATCTGGGCAAGAGCTCAGGCTTTCCTCCCTGTCTGCCTCTTGGACAAGTCACAGGGTACTGGGGTGTGTACTAGTGTGAACACAGAGGGGTGCGTGAGGGAAATGAACATGGCAAAGGAGGGGTATCTGGAAGAGGAAGAGTTGCTGCAGGGGTTGGGGGAGACTGAGGATGTGGGTGAAGGATTGCGATGCTGGCATTAGAGAGGGCGGGAGGAAGAGCAAGCTAAGACCTCGGGGTTCTGATGTGGGCAGCCATCCTGAATAGAGCCTGTGGGAAAGGCAGCAGAGGGCTGGGATGAGGGAGAGAGGGGCTCCTGGTGGGGTTTCAGCCTTGTGGGGTGCAAAGACCCTCCAGGTGCTTCCCCAAGGCAAACACGGTTTGACACTATCAGCCATCAAGGGAATGCTCAGGGAAAGCCCACTGAGGTTCATGTCACAGCACAGCAAGACTGAAACCGACAAGGACAGCAGTACACGGTTGGATGGGGAGGGGCTAGGTGTCCAGCATGGTTGATGGTGCATCTGCTTTAGAAACCAACTGAGCAAATTTCCATAACATTCAAAACAATCACTGTACACCTTGGGAATCCCACTCCCAGGTAAACGTCTGCCCCAAAGAATGCAAATACATGCTGGTCTGAATCCATTCACACACTGGCAACAACCTCAGTCCTAACAGCCAGATTCAGCCCATGAAGGAGAATTACCCTGTGGTATGTCCATATGGTGGAATAGTACTCAGAATAAAAAAGACTGGATACCAGCACGCCTGCTGGCATGAGGAGATCAATCACAGAAGCCAGGCACAAAGGCTGTGTGTAGAATGTGGATCCCAATGACACAATGTCCAGAAAGGGGCTGTAGAGATGGCTCAGGGGTTAAGAGCACCAGCTGTTCTTCCAGAGGACCTGGGTTCTGTACCCAGCACATCAGAACTCACAACCACCTGAAATTCCAGCTCCAGGGTATTTGATGCCCTTTCCTCACTTCCATAGGCACCAGGCATATATGTGGTGCATATATACACATGCAAGCAAAACACTCATACACATGATTTATATATCTATATATATATATATATATATATATATATATATATATATATTTACTGCTCTTGCAGAGGACCTGAGTTTAGTACCTAGCATTCTGGTCTTGTGGCTCACAACCACCTGTAACTCCAGCTCCATGGGATCCAACACCCTTTTATGGCTTCCCTGGGCACTGCACTCATACACATATACCCATACAGAAACACACCCATGCGTATAATTAAAAAATTTTAAGGATTTATTTCTTTATTATGTATACAGTGTTCTGCCTGCATGTATGCCTGCACACCAGAAGAGGGCACCAGATCTCATTATAGATGGTTATGAGCCACCATGTGGGTGCTGAGAATGGAACTCAGAACCTCTGGAAGAGCAGCCAGTGCTCTTAATCGCTGAGCCATCTCTCCAGCCCATAATTTTTTAAAAATATTTTTTTTAATTTCAGAAGGGCTAGGGAAAGGGCTCTGTAAGTAAAAGTGTTTGTCGGTCCAGCTCAAGGATCCAAGTTTGAATCCGCAGAACCACGTGCTTTTTGGTGAGGAGGGATATAAAGACAGGAAAATGTCATGGGAGAATCTTTTGTACACTGTGAAGATGTGATGTTGCCAAGGTGCCTTCTGATTGGTTTAATAAAGAGTTGAATGGCCAATAGCTAGACAGGAAGAGGTTAGGCAGAACTTCTGGGAGAGAGAGAAACTCAGGGATGAATCTAAACCTTCGAGAGACACCTGGAAGACATGGAGACAGTCGTACAGATGAATAGAAGGTAAAAAAGTCACGTGGCAAAACGGATATTAATAGGAACATGTTAATTGAAGTTATAAGAGCCTAAGCTTTCATAATTAATAATGAAAGCTGTGTCGTTATTTGGGGCTGGTGGTCCCGACAGGAACCACTGCAGAAGAATCTCCCAAACTCATGGGCTCAGCTCCCTGAGCAGAGCTGCTTCTGATCTCTGGATGGATCTGGCAGCCACACTAACCTCCTGTGCTTGTCCCCACTCCTCTTCCTGGGGAATGACATCTCCTCCATCCTCCCTCTGGTGATGGACGTGGAGATGAGCCTGGTTGCTCAACTGCACCCTCCATCTGCAGGGTAGGTGCCTCTGTGTCTGCTCATGTCACCCAAAGACCACTGTTTACCTGTTCAGGTGGGTGTCACCCAGAGACTCAGGTTCTCCTTTCCCCAGTTTAGAAAGGAGATAGACATCAGCCTGAGACCCACTGGGTGTTTCCTAAGGGACTCTTTGTGCCTCTTGGTGCTTATCTGCAGCCTGGGTGGTCCCAGGGTTATGGAGACATTGGGCATAGGACACCGCACCCCCAGACAAACAGCCACAGTAACAGCTCTTGATGCTGGCTAAGTTTGTTGTCACACTCACACTGATTCCTCATCCAATGTGGGTCCTTCTGGGGAGATTATTATCTCACATGTCTATCACTGTGGGGAAGTCAAGTGTCAGGGACACAAAGCATCTGGTCACATGGCAGCAGCTGGTCACATAGCATCCAGTCAAGAGCAGAGAGAGGGAGCCTGGAC